TCTAAGTATGAATTCAGTTTAAAGTCGATCGGATTTACGAAGATGCCAAACTGGAGTGTTTTAAAACGTGTACAAACATATGGGCAAAAATGCATCTTTAATGTGACGTAACCTGACACCTAATGACGTCACAATCACAAATTTCTTCTAGGACCATCTGTGGGTGGTGGTCTAAGTATGTACTAAGTCTGAAATCAATCGGATTTAAAAAAAGTGGCAAAGTGGATTGGTAGAAGAAACGTGTGTTAAACCTATGGAGAAAAAGTCTGAAAAAGGAGAAGAAAAAAAAAAAAAAGAAGAAACTAGAAATGTGTTTGTGGACAAACACAAGCTGTTTCGGATATTTGAAATACTCTGTGCATATGATGAACACTTGATGACGTCACTTTAAATGTTATCTATAACACAGGACATTATCAAGTTACGTACAGCCAAATCGAACATATAGATATAGACCTTTAATAGAAAAAATATGCCCCTTTAATGGACGTTATATGACATGTGGTGACGTCACTTCAACTTTCATCTCTAACACATTCCTGTGTATGTGCATACCAAGTTTCCACCCAATCGGAATTGTACTTCAGAAGTTATAGCGATTTGAAAAATGCACATTTAATATGATGTCACGTGACACATGATGACGTCAATGTTACGAAAATCATCAGGACCATCTTTGGCTGCTGGTCTAAGTGTCTGCCAAGTGTAAAGTCAATCAGACACATGAAAGTGCCAAAGTGTGTGGTTTGAAGAAAAACATTTACATGTACAAAACCTTTGTTGAAAGGCATCTTTGATGTGACGTAACCTGACACCTGATGACTGTACGATCACGAATTTCTTCTAGTTACATCTGTGGGTGGTGGTCTAAGTACCGGTATGTACCAAGTCGGAAGTCAATCAGATTTACGAAAGTACCCAACGTGGAGTATTTTAAAATATGTACAAAACAAATAAGGAAAATGCTTCTTTAATGTGATGTAACTTGACACCTGATGATTGTACGATCACGAATTTCTTCTAGGAGCATCTGTTGGTGGTGATTTTAGTATGTACCAAGTATGAAGTCGATCAGATTTACGAAAGGGCCCAAAGTGGAGTGTTGTAAAATGTGTACAAAACATATGAGGAAAAATGCATCTTTAATGTGACGTAACTTGACACCTGATAACGCCATGATCACAACATTGTTGTAGGACCATCTGTGAGTAGTGTATTAAGTATGTACCAAGTCTGAAGTCAATCAGATTTACGAAAGTGCCCAAAGTGGAGTATTTTAAAATGTGTACAAAACATATGGGGAAAAATGCATCTTTAATGTGACGTAACTTGACACCTGATGACGTCATGATCACGAATTTCTTCTAGGAGCATCTGTTGGTGGTGAGTTTAGTATGTACCAAGTCTGAAGTTGATCAGATTTACGAAAGTGCCCAAAGTGGAGTGTTTTAAAACGTGTACAAAACATATGGGGAAAAATGCATCTTTAATGTGACGTAACCCGACACCTGATGACGTCATGATCACAATTTTCTTCTAGGACCATCTGTGGGTAGTGGTCTAAGTATGTACCAAGTCTGAAGTCGATCGGGTTTACGAAAGTGCCAAAGTGGATTGGTAGAAGAAAAGCGTGTACAAAACCTATGGAGAAAAGTGGACAAATAAGAAAAAAAAAAAAAAAAAAAAAAAAAAATCTTAACGAAAACAAGAGCTGTTTCGGTGTGTACACCGAAACAGCTAAAAAAAATGAGAACAAAAACAAAGGCTTTTCCGCATTTTGCGGAAAAGCCAAAAAAAATGAGAACAAAAACAAAGGCTTTTTCGCAAAATTGCGAAAAAGCCAAAAAAAAAAAAAAAAATGAGAACAAAAACAAAGGCTTTTCCGCAACTTTGCGGAAAAGCCAAAAATGAGAAAAAAAAGAAAGGCTTTTCCGCTTTTTGCGGAAAAGCCAAAAAAAAAAAAAAAAATGTTAACGAAAACAAGAGCTGTTTCGGTGTGTCACCGAAACAGCTAAAAAATCTTAACGAAAACAAGAGCTGTTTCGGTGTGTACACTGAAACAGCTAAATAACTATTTGCAGAAATATTATTAGTGACTGAACGTTTTACATAGTTCAGATTTGAATGAGACTAGTGAAGTCAGGCTCAACTGCACATGTAAATTTCTCCAGATAATTGTACCAGTTACAGCAAAGCTTGAGGCATAACATTGTGTTTTTTTTGGCAGGATCGAGTCTCATAGACGAGGGACAAGAAAATGCAGAAATACCCAGAAATGTGTGGGCTTAGCCCTCATGGGCTAAGAGATGTAAAAATACACTGTTTAAATGACCAAAGCGCTAACACTGAATGACAACATAATTGCCTTTTCTATACAACGCCAATCGCCACATGAGACGAATTGACCAAATTACAAGAATTGCATTGAATTTTATTGGACCTAAAAAAACATCCATTATGCAGATTAAAGTTGCGAATTGATCTTGACTGGAACGAAATTACGGGATCTGCCGAGGCAATTTGATATATACTGATATACGTTTAAATAACTGGGGAAACCTATACATGAGAAAATCATAAAACAAAGTCACTGTCGTTTGACTCACCGGCCCTGTATGTCTCAGCTCGAATAACCCGGGAAATAGTCCTAAGAAAGGTAATTTTGACCCCCCCAAAAATGAAACTGTATTCACCTTGAAAAGAAACAAGAAACCCCTCTTTAGGTATATATTCATATTAATCATTTCATATTAATCATTTTTACGGTACGAAACAGTCTGTCCAGAAAAGAAATATGCCAAAGTTTGATTACCTCATATTTTTAATATATTGCATAATATATTTTGTATATATATACTAACCAATGCATAATCCCCACGCAGCCGCAATCGCGACAGGCGGGCACACCATGTTCCCACCGCAAAATACGGCAAACAGTGCCACGCTCGCAGCGTCTGTGGCTCCCAAAAGTTGATCACTGATGGGACGGTCATATCGACAAAGATTCACAAAATGCTCGCAGTTATTCCTGAAAAGATTGTAGTCAATCTGCATTTTGTCCTGGTGCATTTTCTTGGCCACTTCAATGATGACGTTGGAATCCAAAGGCTCTACTCTACTGTCTCTTGAGTTGTTGATCCTCACCTTGCCTGAACCGCCGAGAATATCCTTAATCGTGTCAGCTAGAATCTCGGGCTTTTGACTGGCGAGGGATGGACTGCCTGCTGTCTTCATTACGCTGAATTCCGACCCTCCCTCGAATATACCGAAATGGATGACAGCGTGTTTCATCCCTTCGTATTCACCTACGTATATACCCCAGTGTGCGTACACACCGCCGGCGCGCAGAAACTCAAGCCGATCACCGAGGCGAACGTCGCATTCCAAGTCTGCGATATTCGCAGAGGTGTACCGCACACTAACAACCGTAAAATGGCCACTTTTTACGAAAACTTGGTCACTGCAGGGTTTGTTGTATCGACAATGATTCGCGAAATCACTAACGAAGAGCCCGCGCTCAATTGGCGTTACGCCACGGTGCATTTTCTTCGCTTTTTTAGTGATAATGTCAGGATCCAAAGGTTGTATTTCTTTGTCTGTTGAGTTGTTGATCCTCGCCTTGCCAGAACCGCCAAGAATCTTCCCAATCGTATCAGCTCGTATCTTCGGCCCAATCTTCCAGAATCTATCGAAGTAGATGACAGCATGTTTCATTCCTTTGTATTCACCGACGTATATACCCCAGCGTGTGTATCCTCTTCCTAGTAATGTGCGGCAGTCAAACTGTAGCCTATCACCCGAGCATACTTTGTCTTCAAAGTCTTTGATATTCGCCGAGGTATACCAGTTACCCTCATGCCTAAAATTGTTGCTGTCTGCCATGTCTCCTTCCCTGTCGAATGGTAGTTCGGTATTTGCAAGATGAGGAAAACAATAAGGAAGTACATCTATTGTTGTGTTCACCAATTTATTATCGTCTATATTCCACACTGCAGATATAACAATGAAAATATGGACGCGTAGCACTGTGGACGCGTATCATCGCATAATAAAGTGGGCGTTTCTATTTCCAGACAGGGGTGAATAACTATGATGTAAACTGTTAAGTGCATACTTTCATATGCCCTATACCATATAGATCCCGTAGCAACTGTTTACCGTTACCATGGTTTTTGTTACTATGAATATCGCGTTTAGCAAACAGTGAATTGCGTGCAGTGCGAAAAGGTGGCAATCATTGATCTCCATATACTCAGACAACATACAAAACGTTGGCTGCACACTACCTACGGCTGTACAAAATCAATGCATGTGTGGTGTGTTTTGTTTACCAAAGTACCAATGTTTACAATGCTTTCATTGGCCCGAAATATGTCCACAGAACCGATGACTCACTCTCTATCTTTAACTTGTGCATGATAAAGTCGACGTATCTATTTCCAGACAGGGGTGAATATTACTATGGTGTAAACTGTTCAGTGCATAATTTCATATGCCCCTCAATGCTACACTGAACCACAGATATCCGCCATAATCGATACCATATAGACCCCGTAGCCGTTACCATTTACCGTTTACCGTTACCATGGTTTTTATTAGTAAAATGTATAATGAGCAGGACTCTGAAAAAAAAAAAAATGGGGGGGGGGCAATGGGGGGGGGGCAAGGAAATATTTGTGAGTGGGGCAGTCAGTGGTCTGGAAATAAGCCACTAGAGCAACTTAGGAGTGCAGTCGTTTTTATGAATGAGTAATGTATCAAACCGCAGAATGGTGTATAACAAATGTATAATAAATGTACAAAGACGTTGGCTGCACACCATCTACGGCTGTATAAATGCATGTGTGGCGTGTTTAGTCTACCAAAAATCATTGATGATCATGAAATGTCTGAGATTCCTGTATTTGTTTCAAACGCACGCGTTTCTAATGGCGGCGCGGCGTCGACGCGCTTAATGGAAACCTCGAATACTAGGCGCACTGCACAGTGAAAATAACACATTTAAAAGCCACGGTACAGTAGTAAATGTAGGCATATGTATGGGTGACTTGTGAAACTTAACCCCCCAAAAATATAATAAAATGCCTTGTTTAGTTTGATTTTTTTTCTATCAAGGTATAATGGAAACGATAAAAGAATTATTTCTCCGAGGTAGAGATGGGCGGGGTCAACCAAATGAAGAGAGAGATGACGAGGGGACGGAAGAACAAACGGAGGACGGAAGCAGACTTCATGACGCAGGTAAAATGTTCATAAGCATGATAAGTGTAGGGAGATGCTTAGGTAGTTGTTTGTAAAGTGAGTTACCCCAAAACACAGGAGACTATACAGTTTATCAATCTAGACAAGGAGTGGAAAGTAACCAAGGTTTTGAAAACCATGCATGAGTCGGTTTCCGTTTATCACAATTACAGTAGACCTGTTACTATTTATTTCATAGAAAATTCAGTTGGGGATTGTGCAGTCGCCGCTGTGTAGGGCCCTCTTTAGTTTGATAAAGGGCCCCTTTAGTATAATTAGCCTACATTTATTACAATGCTGCCATAAAGGATGATACATAATGTTATAATGTTACATAATCAAATTGACAATATATGTACAGAGATATATTTATAAATAGTGAACGTTAACTAAATGGCAACAACTAGGTCTGGGGTCAAGCATCAGCTTTTGTTCCCCAGCCTATGGACAGACAGACAAGACTGACAGACATACATACATGAAAGGACACAGGTGTAAGACAGTAATCAAGGCCGTTATTACATTGCTTTTGTATGCAATTAAAAATTGAGTTTTCAGTTTTCTAGCAAAAATAGAGAGAGTGGATGACGATTTTAGAAGAGTCATCCAGACTATTCCAATATTGAGTGCCACGTTGGACAACACTTTTTTGGACAATGAGGTTCTACTATCATTAACAAAGATTTTTTCTAGTACCGTGGGTATTACTATTATAGGAATGGATGTTTGAAGTTAGTGTTAAACATTAAATTAGAGTCAAGGGTGTTTTTATCATTCCAAAATGACTTTTTCAGCCTAAAGTAGACTGCTCTTAATACCAAGCATAGCCCATTATTTTGAATAGATCTTGCGAAAATGCGATTTTCGCACGTTTTTACGCTTGGTGCCATGCGAATCAATGCGGATTTGCGTGTTTGCTATGCGTCGAGGTGATCGCCATCTTTTATTTTCGTGTTGCGCTTTGTCGTCTTCATCGTCGCTTAACCTAAACATTTCCCTCCCCCCCAAAAAAAATAACAGCTTTTCCTCTACCTACGGCAAACGTCTTGGTTATAATGTCGCTATACTAGTTTTGTTAGTCCAATAACCTAAGCGTGGGTGTTTGTTCCCTTATAGGGAACAGGGCCCTACACTCTACAACTCCAATTCATTTTACTACATGTATAAGTACTCAACTTCTTGCATCGCTCGATCTTATAGGAAGGGATCAAAACGTAGAAAACTCGCATATAACGCTCAATATATGAAATTGGGGTTTTGCGACAGGCCGACAGTCTGATTTGATATTGGCCTGGGTCTTCTGAATATGCCTCCATATCAGCATCACCTCTACTTTTTTTAGGTCTCTTATGTAATTTTCCATGTTGGAGTGCATTTTTGTATGATTATAATCAATCGTTATCTATCGTGTATTAGCTGTACATGGAAATAAATGTCTAGTTGAATTGAATTGAATTGAATTATAATTAAGCTCAACATCAAGAACCGTCGTCGATATTTTACGGAACATTTATATGCCGCGTCTTCAAACTACACGCAGACCCTAAAACGGAATACGTGCCTATGAGATTTTGTATACGATCTGCACCACAAAATGTCATTTGTGTATGCAGCACAGTGGCAGTGCGACAGTAAAATCTTAATGCTTCCCTTTCAAATGTTTGAAATTCAATTTCTTTTAAAACTCAATTCGCACTGAAATTCAGTAGCATGTTTCCCCGTGTTTCGATAATACAGGTCCCGTTACACGCCGGACAGCCATGGGGGAGTACATCGTTCCCAAAGACGGCAAGCCGCTGACACAACTCGGTAAGCAGAGATTAAAATCGACACTGGCAATTTGTATTAATTGGTGACATGTTCGTCCAGTTTCTTACTTCGAAATGTCTACTTTCGAGCTCCTAGCTAGATTTCTACTTTCGTCCTTTTATCACGGTTGAAGCTAATTTTGAACTTGCCGATTTTCATTGTCTCTTATATCATGGGTTACACCGAAATCGGAAATTTTAAAGTTTTGGCCATTGACTAGGTTTTACGTATATGGGAACCAAATGGTGTCCCCAACATGCAATCATGCACAGAATAGTTTGTTAAGGTCTTTTCAAGTTATTTTCATGATAAAACAATTATGTTTTATTCTTTGTAAGACCCCCAAAAATACATTTTAAATAAAACACACTACATGCACACTGTTCTGGTCATGACTTATCACACAAATAGCAGAACATTAATTCTGTGTCCCCTTTACACGTGAAACCGTGAATAGGTTTTGACCGTGGTATTTTGAAATTTCTGGAGTAAATAATGTCTAATTTTGGCTACAATTAATCAGGAATGTCAATATATTCACTAAAACATACCAAATTACATTAGAAAATGGGTTTTGAAATTGAGCTCACCAAAAGGTACTTCTGCACGAAAAGGGGCCTTCCGAAGCCAGATACACCTAGGCGAGGCTTCGTAAATGTAGCAAAGTAACAACAGATGTAATGCAAGAAAAACAATGTGGCTGAACTCAGGAAACGCAGAGAACAAATGAAGAACAGCACTCTACATTGATCCGTTTGTCAGGACGGCATGTGCAGAACGACTGTCTTGAATTTCGCGTTGCACCACCCTCTAACGCTCAACTAAGCACAGGCATTTCACTTGTTTGCCTTAACAATGCCAACAAAAATTCCTGTTCCGAAATAAGGAGAGCTTCTGGAAGGGCAGTAGGCATTCGTACATTTCTAAGAGGACTTTACAAGTTACTTAAAACCATTTAAAACTTTGTAAGTAATCAAATGAATCGCAGCTTGCGAATTCGGTTGGTTACACACGTTTCCTTTTCCTGCTGTAAGACACTATCCGCAGTGACATTTGTGTCTTGATGTGGCTTGCGAATTTCATTGGAACAAGTTTTCAATTTCGATTTCAATACCAAGATTTATTTCAATGCTTTCCAGATGTGTTCTTGTTTGTTAGCAGCCATTCAATAAGTTGAATGATCGAACTTAATGGTTTTATTGGCACGAAATAAGGCAAAAAGAAATAAACAAATAAAGTAAGGATTTTAGGGAACAGAACAGTGTGTTCATAGATAATTAATGCTGAGTCACATTTATCATTAAACTTTTAATTGTTGTAATTAAATCAAGGATTCCTCCAAAGCGCCCTAGGCACTGTAGTGCGAAAGCCTGAGAAACCTGTGGAGAGAAGGCATTGAAAAGAAATTACAGTTTTAGAGGTGGGAGGAAAAACCCAGAATGATATTCTAGGTTAAACCCACGGAATCAGGTAGGGACCGAAAACCCAATCCACATATTGGCCCGGGCGGGATTCGAATCCGGGTCACAGCGGTGGAAGGCAAGGAAAGTACCCCCACGCCAACCTGACTCCCCTGTCATTATTAACGGGAGCACATTTTTTCTTATATGACTTCCTGATCAGCATTAAATTGAATCATTCCTTCTTTAAAATCAAATCAAATAAATTTTCCCTCTCACCCAGCGATACCTCTTCCGGGTCCAGCTGATTATGATCCCAAGATCGACCTGACCCGTAGGACAAGACCACAATTCTCCATCGTTGGACGAACCAAGCAAGTGAAAGGTGGGCGATGATTTTCATTAATCGTTAAAGTAAAACAGGTACGACCATAATTTTGCCTTCACACCTATCTATGAGTCGTGACGATTTTTTTCCTGCAAAGTCGTGTAGTTATATGTAGTTACACTGAGTATCATGTTGATTCTAGTCCCGTTCGAGATGAACAGCGCCCCATGTGTCAGATGATGAACAGCCCCCTTTCCTTCGATTCCACGCGGCGGCGGGTATACCGTGAAAAACTATGCAGTTCTCTCTATAGACCTTCATCACGATGCCGCTGTCTTTGTCATGTCCCCTGTAGACTCATTGACAGTAGTAATACAACTTTACATATTGATAAATGGGACTGACTATTTTACCTTCCAGCTACAGATTGGTTACATTGCTTTGAATGGTAGAAATACAAGATGGCTGCCCCATGATAAAGGTTTATTGGGATGGCGACGCCCAAATGCTTATCCTCCTTGCATCGAGCAGAACCAATGGGTCCATATCAAAATTGTCAGTTGAATGTTGTACTTAATTCTAAAAAAAAAAATTCCAAGAGAGTCACGCTAAATACTTGCCATTACGTTACAGATATCTTGTAATGTAGCAGCTTGTGTGTTAACAATATGAATTATTCATGAAACTTATGTGTTTGTTTTGTACTTAGCTCCTCCCATACCCGGTGCGGCAGACTATGATACGCTGGGAGACCTGATCTGGAAAGACAAGAAGAAAACTCTGAAAGACAAAGGGAAGACTTGTCCTCACGGCACGACACGTGAGTCACGCATGATCACCCACATCAACCCCATCCTCACCACCATCATAACGTTGCATTCACCACCGTACTAACTCAACATCACCACTCACAATCCTTATCACCATGGTCTGAACTCACCCATTATCATTATCATCACAATTCTCCAGGCCAAATGACCATAATACCGTGTATCACCACTGTGACCTCCATTGTGTCACCATAGTATCACCAAAGCTATCACTATATGCACACCTCAACGCCATCGTCACAAGTACCATCAACCAAATAAGTCATCAAAACACTTCCAAGAGGCAAATTTGCTAAACGTGGATTAATAAGGGAATAAATGTGTGCTCCGGAGGTTTTTATCACTCTGTTTAATACCACTTAGAGTCTGGGTGCTGATAATTACCCGAGCCGGAGGCGAGGGTAATTATCAGCACCCAGACTCTAAGTGGTATTAAACAGAGTGATAAATACCGACGGAGTACATATTTATTCCCATTCATAAATACCTTTTCGGTAAAAAAAAATCATATAATTCGTTCAAAACATCCCGATTTTGTTCAACAAATTCACTTTATGCTTTTTGAATCATCCCTCCTGCAAAATAATGGAGTGTTCAGCTGGCGAGTAAGATGAAAACAACCCTTTTATGGAGATTGACGCGCGCGTATCATGTTCTATGCGATGTCGCGCAGAACGCACCTGGCGCGTTGCGTTTTGAATTTAGAACTATAAAATTCTAACTCCCTGGTAGTGTTGCGCATGCCTACGTGAGGATTGTGAACGTTCAACCAATGAAACGATAAGAGGCACTGGATTTTTAGGAGTCCACATTTTATTGTGACACTGGAAAAGTGTTTAAGACCAGCTAGCCATGTCTTTATCATCCGTTTAATACCGGCCACGTGACGGGCTCTCGACCAATAGGAATGGCTAAACTGTCTGAGGTATTTATGAATATACAATTAATGAATGTTTATGAGTGCAATGGTAAGAATGATTTTATGAGGTGACAGATGGGATGGACCATTCCATCTGTCACCGAATGAAGTTATTCTTTCCATTGCACACATTTGCACAAATGTGAAACATTCATTATTTGTTTTATACAACACCTGAAAAAAATCCTCGTCAGAGCCACCAAACGTATAACCGTTGATAGTGGAATAGAACTTCTATTTTGAAGTGCAAAAGAACTTCAATTTTGATGGTGCGGCTGGGTCGTAGGGACGAAAAATTCAATGACGTAATCAACGACCCACTAATCAGATTTGCTGAGCACTATTTGCCTGTTTGGCACCTCCATGACATTGAGCTACGGTCGCACCCGTACTCACACTGACCTAATAAACTTGTCTTCGTCGTGTGTCCCTAATGTCGTGGATTGTCTTGTAGCCTCCCACCACCTGACATGCAGTCCCGGTCCGGCCGGCTATCGAGTCACCCACACCGACACCGGCAAGCACGCGCCACGTATCAGCGTTGCGTCTCGTCATCTGGACGGTGTCAACGTGGGACACCCCAACAGCCTCGTCCAACCAGTCGACACGCACGGTCAGTTATACAAGTGCAAACCAGTAAACAAAATTAACATACATCTCACCAAATATCGCCCAAAAAACCCAATTGTTCAGGTTTTTTTATGCACACTCGGAAACGTCGACTGTCGACATCAGTCAAACAAATTAAAATTTCAACTTGACAGTTCAAAGAACGTCGTTGTGTCTAGGCTATATATCGCCCTCTTTTGTCGCATGAGAATCTCATGGACTAGGTGACCTGACAGTGAACCTCAGTGGGCTGAAACAAAAACGATTTGATAGGCTGGCATTACCGCAAGCACTGCGAACCTGCAGCCACATTGTTTTCGTTTTGAAGTGAACGCGAAATGCATTGCATTAAAAAAAATGGCCTCATTAATATTTTGCAATTGTGTGACAGGTGTCCAGACCCCAGGATCCAGTCACTACCACCCAGAGTCACACGCCCTTAACGACCAGATTCACAAATCCTTTGGCATCAACCGTAAAATATGCAATAAGACTTTGGGTCCCGGACCCGCTGGATATACCATACAGGAGGGACAGCAGGGACCAGCGCACTCGCTGTCGAAGCGGCTGCCAGCGAAGTGGCAGCAAGGTGGGTTGTACGCATGCACCCTCGTCCTCATATGGCGTCGAGTAGTACGCTACGCTACTTATTGTCTCGAGATTGCAAGCAAACCCTGGGTACGAGGTGTATGGCGCAAAACAATGTTGTGAAGTGTCGAAGACTCCCACATTGGAACCGGTGGCATCAAGGGAGTTGGGAAGCGCATTGGGCGAAAAAAGGGGCTCGGGGACAGGCCTTTCGTTCGGTGACCTTTAGTGCCCTACCGCTCCGAATTTCCGAAAGACAAAGTAGTGTTTGAAACCAAGTCAGAAAACGAGGCCCTAAATTGTTAGTTCTTAGTTAGGGCTTGATTTTAGAGAACAAAGGCTTACATTTGAGAGAACAAACAACAATTTAAGTTTATTTTAAAATTCCTCAACCTTATTGATGCCCTTTCGATTACTGTGGATCTTGAAATAATGCAAGATTTGTTTGAGAAAAGGACGTAGACCCTAATTACTTGAAGCTATTTCTGCTTTCTGTCATATATCAAGTGACGGACTACCCAGCGCCAAACGTGTACGATGTGGGCACCACAATGGGCAAAGGGGTAGCCATGGGAATCAGAAGCCGCCAGCCCCTACAACAGAGTAAGATCAATGTTGTGTCATTTAGTCTTGCAGATATTTGAAGTTCAAAATGAGTAATTGGACGATCAGAGCATGTGTCATGTAACTTCGAGTTTTTACAACCAACCGGTTCTTTTTAGAACCACACTTCTTCTCAAAAGAGATTTTCCACATGGTGTCACCGTAAACCTTCACTACTTTACATGAAACTTTGTTTTACCTTGTAACAATAACCGTTTGATTATCTGAATGATTCTCTTTCTAACCTAGAGTATTGGGTACCCAGTCCCAACACGTACATTCTCAGGGACCCGTTGCGATACTCTGACGCCCCCGTTGCTTCTGTGACTTATCGACCGTTTTCACCCACGTGTGAGTAAATTGAGTTATCAAAGCTGTCCCTCATATAAACTTCGACTTAAAATTAATCTATGCTTGATTAATTAAACACACGATCCACCTTTATTTAATAAACGAACACCAATGTATTATCACCATTCGCATTTTTGTTTAATCCCATTTATTATTAGACAATACAGGGTGAGTAATAAAAAAACCAAAACAAGGAAACCCAAATAGCATGGCCATTTTTGTAATGAAGTTATGCATGTAGCAATTTCAAAATCTAGGATATAAAAGCCAAATTACTAAGCTTTCTTTTAGTGCAAGAATCATTCAAATCACTGATGTACTTTTCAAGTTTTTAAATTTTAAACACAAACACTGTTTTGAAGTTCAGTCCACGGATCACAAAAACGAAAACAATTCACATAGGGATACGTGTGAATCGTTTTCGTTTTGCTGAATGAACTTACTTTTTGTTATCTGTGGACAAAACTTTAAAATCCCGTAACTTGAACAGTACATGAGTGGTTGGAATGAATCTTGTACTAAAAAAAAAAATAATTGGAATTTCATATCCTAGATTTTGAAAGTGCTACATGCAGAACTTCATTACAAAAACGGTCGTTCTTGGGACATGTCTCTATAAAGTTAGAAGACATGAGTTTATTTTGAAGGCTTTTTGACCGATTTAAATATCGTAAAAAACGTAAATATTGTGGTTTTGAGTAGTGGAGGTAGTCTTCTTAGTACGGTTTGACCTTGGGCATAGAAATATGTAAAGGTCACATAAATATGTAAATATGGAAATATGTAAATATAAATATGAATTAATGAAGTTATGAAATTCTGGGCACAGTTTGACCTAATGAATGGATGGGATGAATAGGGAATAGGTGTGGGTATAAGGAACCGGGTACAGTTTGACCAATTCTATGGGAAAGATTGCATAAGGTATGGAAAAAAATATATATATATATTTTTATGGTACATTTGGATCTTAGCCCGAATATGAGTTTCATACGTTAGTCCCTGTGAACGACCAGCTGGTCGGATCTTTAATCCCCCAACAATAGACGGGAGAGGGCGCGTGCCAAGTCAGCGCACTAGTATTGTTACGAAGTTAATCCGATCGATACAAAAAGTAATTGGATTTCCGAACGCTCGACAGCAGAAAGCAGCGATAGATGGCAAAAATGAATGTTGCGTTGATCAGACTGAAACGAGTACGATTGTCTATTTGAAGACTTATTTTAAAGTCATTTTTATTGGGTTTATGGGTATTGTGCATGTTGCGTTTTCCAAGGTATAAACAAACACTCACCGCAGCATACTTGCAGGGTACAACCTGTGTCGGCCATGGGGGTATATGATAAATCCACGATCCATAATCCATGCGTCTGTACGGAGACCGGTGGTCGATCACCCCTCGATGATCGCACCGATCCTGGAGCAAATAAATAACTCCGTCCGTGCGCCTATATTCCTCTTGTTAATCGATACAATACCAATGGCACTCTTCTACACTGCCACCAGAATCATCCAAGTAAAAATATTTGTCTGTGCGCGGTGATCGTAGAAAAGGGAAGGTTTTGGCATCAGCCAGAGCAAATGCTAGTACACATGCACACTACTGTATACATTACGGCCATCCGATCAGATAGCGCTCAAGTTTTCTTAATCCGTGACGGCTAAATTATCGATTAGGCTCTATAGTCTGCAGATGCGCGTACAATAAGGAATGGATTCAGTGGTTTAAAGCCATAACAAAACGTGCGGGCATATGTGGTTTTTCAAGGGAACTATGGCCTGGACAGTGCCCGATTGAGCGTATCGGAATAACACAACCATCCTTGTGCATTTTGTAATATTTCGTACTAGAACGACCCCAAAACCAAGCAAAAGCCTATCCATAGTTAAACATTCGATCGTAACGTGTTCGTCTTTTTGCGGACGTGTGAGAAACCACTCGGGGGGGGGGGGTGTTGAGGGGGTGGGGGGATTGGCGTTCGACGGGAAAAATGGTGCCCCTTTAACGCTGTCTGTATAGGAATGCACCGAACCCTAGTTGTACCTCCGTGCCGGATTTGTTTACAAAATCGAGGATGACTGGGTTTTATCTACGACCATTTTACGGGGGTTATTTAGAGGGCGTGTTCAAGCAATAATTTTATGACTGAGGGTAGGCTTTTCCAATTGATAAGACAACACAAACAAAGAAAAATACAACTGCAGAAAGTACATACGATATGACATTATTGCTTTATTGACGTCATTTTTCAGTAAAACATCATTCTACTCTTTTCTGTGCTCATCCTGCTCTTTTCCCTGCTCATCCTGCTCTTTACCCTGCTCATCCTGCTCTTTTCCCTGCTCATCCTGCTCTTTACCCTGCTCATCCTGCTCTTTTCCCTGCTCATCCTGCTCTTTACTTTGCTCATCCTGCTCTTTTCCCTGCTCATCCTGCTCTTTTCCCTGCTCATCCTGCTCTTTTCCCTGCTCATCCTGCTCTTTACCCTGCTCATCCTGCTCTTTACCCTGCTCATCCTGCTCTTTACCCTGCTCATCCTGCTCTTTACCCTGCTCATCCTGCTCTTTACCCTACTCATCCTGCTCTTTTCCCTGCTCATCCTGCTCTTTACCCTGCTCATCCTGCTCTTTACCCTGCTCATCCTGCTCTTTACCCTGCTCATCCTGCTCTTTACCCTGCTCATCCTGCTCTTTACCCTGCTCATCCTGCTCTTTACCCTGCTCATCCTGCTCTTTTCCCTGCTCATCCTGCTCTTTACCCTGCTCATCCTGCTCTTTACCCTGCTCATCCTGCTCTTTACCCTGCTCATCCTGCTCTTTTCCCTGCTCATCCTGCTCTTTACCCTGCTCATCCTGCTCTTTACCCTGCTCATCCTGCTCTTTACCCTGCTCATCCTGCTCTTACCCTGCTCATCCTGCTCTTTACCCTGCTCATCCTGCTCTTTTCCCTGCTCATCCTATAGAGTAGGATGAGCAGGGAAAAGAGCAGGATGAGCAGGGTAAAGAGCAGGATGAGCAGGGTAAAGAGCAGGATGAGCAGGGTAAAGAGCAGGATGAGCAGGGTAAAGAGCAGGATGAGCAGGGAAAAGAGCAGGATGAGCAGGGAAAAGAGCAGGATGAGCAGGGTAAAGAGCAGGATGAGCAGGGTAAAGAGCAGGATGAGCAGGGAAAAGAGCAGGATGAGCAGGGTAAAGAGCAGGATGAGCAGGGTAAAGAGCAGGATGAGCAGGGTAAAGAGCAGGATGAGCAGGGTAAAGAGCAGGATGAGCAGGGTAAAGAGCAGGATGAGCAGGGTAAAGAGCAGGATGAGCAGGGAAAAGAGCAGGATGAGTAGGGTAAAGAGCAGGATGAGCAGGGTAAAGAGCAGGATGAGCAGGGAAAAGAGCAGGATGAGCAGGGTAAAGAGCAGGATGAGCATGGTAAAGAGCAGGATGAGCAGGGAAAAGAGCAGGATGAGCAGGGAAAAGAGCAGGATGAGCAGGGAAAAGAGCAGGATGAGCAGGGTAAAGAGCAGGATGAGCAGGGAAAAGAGCAGGATGAGCAGGGTAAAGAGCAGGATGAGCAGGGAAAAGAGCAGGATGAGCAGGGTAAAGAGCAGGATGAGCAGGGAAAAGAGCAGGATGAGCACGGAAAAGAGTAGAATGATGTTTTACTGAAAAATGACGTCAATAAAGCAATAATGTCATATCGTATGTACTTTCTGCAGTTGTATTTTTCTTTGTTTGTGTTGTCTTATCAATTGGAAAAGCCTACCCTCAGTCATAAAATTATTGCTTGAACACGCCCTCTAAATAACCCCCGTAAAATGGTCGTAGATAAAACCCAGTCATCCTCGATTTTGTAAACAAATCCGGCACGGAGGTACAACTAGGGTTCGGTGCATTCCTATACAGACAGCGTTAAAGGGGCACCATTTTTCCCGTCGAACGCCAATCCCCCCACCCCCTCAACACCCCCCCCCCCCCCCGAGTGGTTTCTCACACGTCCGCAAAAAGACGAGCACGTTACGATTGAATTTTTAACTATGGATAGGCTTTTGCTTGGTTTTGGGGTCGTTCTAGTACGAAATATTACAAAATGCACAAGGATGGTTGTGTTATTCCGATACGCTCAATCGGGCACTGTCCAGGCCATAGTTTCCTTGAAAAACCACATATGCCCGCACGTTTTGTTATGGCTTTAAACCACTGAATCCATTCCTTATTGTACGCGCATCTGCAGACTATAGAGCCTAATCGATAATTTAGCCGTCACGGATTAAGAAAACTTGAGCGCTATCTGATCGGATGGCCGTAATGTATACAGTAGTGTGCATGTGTACTAGCATTTGCTCTGGCTGATGCCAAAACCTTCCCTTTTCTACGATCACCGCGCACAGACAAATATTTTTACTTGGATGATTCTGGTGGCAGTGTAGAAGAGTGCCATTGGTATTGTATCGATTAACAAGAGGAATATAGGCGCACGGACGGAGTTATTTATTTGCTCCAGGATCGGTGCGATCATCGAGGGGTGATCGACCACCGGTCTCCGTACAGACGCATGGATTATGGATCGTGGATTTATCATATACCCCCATGGCCGACACAGGTTGTACCCTGCAAGTATGCTGCGGTGAGTGTTTGTTTATACCTTGGAAAACGCAACGTGCACAATACCCATAAACCCAATAAAAATGACTTTAAAATAAGTCTTCAAATAGACAATCGTACTCGTTTCAGTCTGATCAACGCAACATTCATTTTTGCCATCTATCGCTGCTTTCTGCTGTCGAGCGTTCGGAAATCCAATTACTTTTTGTATCGATCGGATTAACTTCGTAACAATACTAGTGCGCTGACTTGGCACGCGCCCTCTCCCGTCTATTGTTGGGGGATTAAAGATCCGACCAGCTGGTCGTTCACAGGGACTAACGTATGAAACTCATATTCGGGCTAAGATCCAAATGTACCATAAAAATATATATATATTTTTTTTTCCATACCTTATGCAATCTTTCCCATAGAATTGGTCAAACTGTACCCGGTTCCTTATACCCACACCTATTCCCTATTCATCCCATCCATTCATTAGGTCAAACTGTGCCCAGAATTTCATAACTTCATTAATTCATATTTATATTTACATATTTCCATATTTACATATTTATGTGACCTTTACATATTTCTATGCCCAAGGTCAAACCGTACTAAGAAGACTACCTCCACTACTGTTTTGCTATAGTTCGAATCCACGACACTGTTCCTGGGACATAACTCTATAAAGTTAGAAGACATGAGTTTATTTTCTTTAAAATGAACTAAAGCAACACATTCAGCTGAGTACACGTACGAGTTTATATAGGCCTATCACTATATACTCTAAGAATTGCAATGTTTGAAATGACAATTAAGTTGAACTTTCGATTCAATCAATAATAATCTGAGTTGTCTATGAATTTATATTCGCTGCGTTCCGGTCATTATTGTCATACCATGTTTCGTTCTGTCCAAAGTGAAGACGTGGCCGAGCCCGGCCCACTACAAGCCCACTGACGCCACGCTGCCCAAATCGTCCACGTTTTCCTGCAGGAAATTCTGCAAACCGTGCTTTCCGGATATCCTGAAATATCCAGCTCACGGTAAGTAACCAAAAAGCTACCCAACGGCCTAGTTCTGTTGTAAACTTTAGATGAAGCAGCTTGGATATGAAAAGTCTGTTTATTGATTGTTGACGACTATACGTGCCAAATAACGAATACGAATCACCTGTAGTGAAACATTCTTTTGGGAAGTGATAGAGAACAATAGATATCGTCTGCTTATAACAAGTGCCGTGCACTGATAATTATGGTAGAGTTTTGTGTCTTTCCCATTTTCATACGTCAAGAAAGTTTCAGGACTTCTCCATCATCATTCCCAGTCGACAATTAATGTAGGCCTATACACCTAGGTTTTAAAGTATATTAAGTGTCCGGTGTTATGTGCACGGGCATCAGCACCGGCCACCAAGCAAATTCGTTCACAGATAATTACCCAGCGTTCTTTGCGTTTATTTAGTGCCAAAGAAGCATACAGGCTGTGTCTGAAACGGGCCTTTGGCCCACGCAGTGGCAATGGATATTCGCAATAACGGAGTCTTATATAGCGCACGTATCTACCAACAATTTGGTACTCAAGGAGCTTTAAATTTTGTCTATTTTCAAAGAAGGGTAAATAAAGTATATGAGAATATGAGACCCATTATATAGCACCTTATAAGGATTGACAAGGTATTGCGGCGCATATTACAGCCACTCCTAAAAACACCGGCGCAAACCCCTTCTCTTAGCGATAAGTGTTACTGGGTTCTTTAACGTGCATTACACAACACACAGGACCTACGGCTTTACGTCCCATCCGAAGGACAAAGCAGTAATGGTAAAGTACCTTGCTCAAGAGCACAAGCACCGTGTTCCACGGTCAGGATTCGAACTCAAGTACCACGGCACACAAATCGAACACCGTAACCATTGGACCACAGCACGCCATATTCGCACTAGCTTGTCATTGCAAAAACCGAATCAGTAGTCGTAAAATTTAGCGATTCGGACTCGGCAATTTTAACTCGGTTAGTGTACCTATATGGTGCCCTCGGTTCACATTCAACAGTTACCCAGCATTCCTTGTTTCACTCGTAGCACCGGATACTACACCTGGTCCAGGAACCTATCATAGTCCCAGGAAGTTCACAGACAACGATTACCCAGCATTCTCTATGGGGTCAAGACCCAAGCCAAAGACAAGTAAGTAACATAAATAATTTGCCTTTAATGTTTAGATTTATGTAAAATTATTTATCGATCGTGCCCTATTAAAGGAAATATACATCATTTGCTTTTGCTGTAATTTTCAGAAATGGATGGAATTGGGGGGTTGGAAATATATAGCAAATATAGTTACACTGACTTTTTTGAGGTTTTGGGTTCGAAAATGCTATAAAAACCAAGAAAAACAATCATTTTCCTGTAGTGTGGTTCCCTGACTCCATATAAGAAGAAACAGAGCAGTTTACATACATTGGGGAATTGTAAGGTCAGGGAACCAGTCTAGCTGGCTTGTACCCGTTCGTAGGTGTGTAATCGATTGCAAACAAGTGCGATGGTCAATTGGGGCCAGTATTTGAAAAAAAAGCCAGTTTTTTTTCCAACGCTGGTCGGCCGACCAGCGTTGGAAATTGATACAAAAATACCACTTTTCTTGAAAATGACAGTGTAGTAGGTGCCATGATTTTACAGGATGCTTTGCACTGTCATTCACTAACAGTTCAAAATGATTTGGTAGTTTTATTTTTTGATGTTTACAAATGTTGTATTTTCCCTTTAAAATCTGAGGATCAGATGTTGTGCAGAGCCACACTGTGAACGTCCGATATATCCAAGAATGCACATTTTATGCCACCCCTCGCGCCAACCAATCGGAGTCGATTTTAGAAATATTGTGACGTCATCTCGAGCAGAAATTCGGCCTTAGCTGTTGATTGGTCAATTGGCTGCCATGTTTTTGTAATACAACAACGGGTACTTACTGAAGACCCGATAGACTACGCCCGCTGAATGGTCAAAATCTAGAGGTCAAGACGCAGCCTCCTTTTGCATAATTAATCGCCGAATCTGCGCGAATAACATAGACGCTTGTGTGGAAGCGGCTATTCCATGGACTTCATCGAATTGGTATCTGACAAATTGCCTGGGTTAATTTAACCCAAGAAAGGGTGAAAACTGCAACTACCCAAACTTGGGTTGTTCTATACCCAATTGTTTGGGTTATAATTTCTGTTAAATTCAACCAAAACTTGTGGTCATACAGGACCAAATTTAATTTGGTCTTGTATGACTACAACTTTTAGTTGATTTTAACAGAAATCTTAACCCAAACAATTGGTTTTCACCCTTTCTTGGGTTAAATTTACCCAGGCAATTTTTCAGTGATGTCCCCAAAAACGTAGAATATTCAGAAACTAAAACCATCGTACAAAGTTTCTGATGGTATTAACTGTATTTTTCTCACGGAACAGTTTTCAGAGATGCAGACGGCATACTTCCAAAACGTCAATTTCAAAATCACCGTTAAGACGCATCATGTCCAATTCAATTTTGTTTAGGCCTATACCGGTAACCATGAGTTTACCAAATGTGCATCTTATTAAACACAAATTTTAAAAAAAATGCAAAAATGTCATCTCTTTAGCAAATTTCCTCAGCTTAATCTGAGAGTCACGCATATTGCATTAATAACAGTTTTAACACGACCTCAACCAATCCGGAAATAATGCTCGCGTTGACTCCGCAGATGATGTACCGGGAGCGAACCATTACCACATCCGGGTCAGTCACCGGCCTGACGGTAAAAAGGCGCCAGAGTTCTCCATGGCCAAGCGGTGCTATCCGCCACACAGTGAGTGCAGTTTGTGTTTCTAAATACGAGATTAAAATGTAATTTAGCCGCCTATAATCAAATCAGATGTAAATAACTTCAAGATGTTGGGTCTGAAGCATTGAAATGACCTCGAATAAACTTAAGGAACATCCCTGGTTGGTGGTTGCTAAAACCAATCTTTAGTGCAGATCCATCGCAAACTACGTATTTGATCAAGTCAGTGGACAGTTTCTTGACCATTTTGAAGGTTTTCTTTTTTTTTTAAGAATAAATCGACAAACATGAAAAAAAAATGAAAAAAACAGACAACGTATGAAAACATGCTACAGCTTTTGCTCAGAATCACATGCTGCTGTAGTTATCATATGGGTTTTGCATACATTCTTCGCGATGTAGGCTGCTTATTTTTTTGTCGTTATGGTACAAGCGAGCACTGATCATTGTTGCTTTACAGAAAGTGTGACGAGTTTGATTCATTTCATTTCTTTCTGGTAATAAAACCAATGATTCCTCAAAAGTGCCCTAGGCACTCTATAGATAGAAATCCCGAAGAAAACTGTAGAGAGAAGACAATGAGAAATTACAGTTTTTTGAGGTGGGATGAAAACCCCAGAAGAATATTCTGGGTAAAACACACGGAACCAGGCATAGGAGTGAAAACCCAATCCACATGTGGTCTGGGCAGAAATCGTACCCTGTTCACGGCAGTGGCAGGTGAGGAAAGTATAACCACTGCGCCAACCTTTACATTTTTTTAAATTTGAAAATACTTATTATACTTATCTGATATTTTTTATCTCATCTTTTCCAGAGAATGAAAATCCAGGCCCTACCGTGTACAATCCTCCGATAGACACCAATGACGGGCCCAAGCACAGCATGAGTAAACGCTGGGACGCCCGTTCAAGTAAGCGCCGATCGCATTGTGGAGATGCTATAAGTACATTTATTTTGCTTGGAGAAAGAAAAGGCTACCAGTCAAAATGCTACATCACGCATAGGCCTATAACTGGGGACCACTGATCAGTTCTCTTGACTTTTGCTGAGACACTTCAGTTTGGTCGGCAGTGTTTTCTGTAAACAGCTAATGATCTAATAACCAGGATTTGTGTTGCGGTCGTTTTATCACTTGGCCACCATTAAGGGGCTTGTGGCCTTTAGTGGTTAGGGTTTGTGACTCACGATCAGAGGGTCAGGGGTTCGAATTCAGCTGCTGGAAATATGTGTCCTTAGGCAAACCACTTCACCCTCACTTGGCTGTCTTCACCCATGACTATAAATGGTACCGGCATTAACTGGGAAGCAACCTGAGATGGACTGGTATCCCATCCAGGGGAGATAGAAATATTCTCAGTCGTTTCATGCCTAGGAAACCGGAGATAAACGCTGGCCAACAGTTGCGTGCACTAAGCTACCGTGTTCCTAGCCACGGTGATCCATTATGGCGCCCTCAATGAACTCTGCCGCCAAACTTAGGACACACATCAGTTCTTCATGCAATCTGACCAATATACCAATGAGCCAACATTAAATCTCAGTACTACAGAAGACGTTTTTTTGTCTTCAGAAACAGCCCATCCAGCTCCCAACTCCTACGACATAGCCAAAGGTCAGACCAGCAGAGGGCGTTTCACGGGACCCTTAGCAACGGTCAAAGGTCGCGCTTCGTCCTACGTCTATCCAGGCTACGCGCTCCAAAATTCGGCTCGATTGTTGGATTCGTAATTTGCTGCCCAGCTTTAACTGAAAATTCATCAGATGATGTTTGCTATTTAAAAAAAAAATTGTCTGTCATGCTGATGTCAAAATGCATGTTTTTTAAATTTATTTATTTTATAAGAGATTTGCCCTCTGAGAATTTGCATGGTGTGTGCTCAATCATTACAAAAATATTTCGCAGTCTCCATATCATTTTAACAATAAAAAACAACACGAAAGAAACAATGGGATTAAAGAATCAATTTTGGTGAATAACATGAAAAGCGAATTTCATGCTCAAATCTGCTTTTCAAATCATGTTAAACAAAGCAAATCGATGGTCTCCCAAAGAAAGAATATAATGCAGGTTACTTTTTCATGTTTCTGCTTACCAAAAATAGATTTATTAATCAGCGATTCAAAATCTTCTGAATCATTCTATATATAAAAATCATCCTTCAGCATATGTTATCTGCTAACAACTTTTTAGGACAGTAAGCCTTCAAACTGGCCCATTAACAAACACAGAAAACACATCGGTCACGTTTAAGCTAATGTGCGCATGTTCAAAATGACGCAAACAAAGTGTGCGTTCGCGTAGCTCATCCGGATCGACTCGGGTAAAGCATTCCTCAATGGGTAAAGGCAGACGGTTAGCCACGACAGCCGGGCTAATCGAACGCTCAACCGCGGGCCATCACGATCCTCACAAGATGTCCATTAGCCACCGCCGTAACCATTCGCTCGTACCCCCGGCCCCGCCCTGCAAACAGGATGCTGGGACAGGCTGATGAATTAACGCTCTGATTGGATAGATTTTGCGTGACATGTGACCTGCAAGTCATCATGGCCACGACCCTGCAAGGCAAGTTAAACGGCCGTTAAGACTGAATCATAACCCTTTTATTCCAATTCATGTGGGTTTTTTTTCGTTGAAAAGCATAAATGTGGGACAATCTGTAAAAATTATCTGTTTTGTAAATTTTCCATTCCCGTCACGTGCTCAGGCTCTCAAACTTTGTCCATATGGTCCGCAATGAAAAATAAATCACATCCGGTATGGAATGTTTGCATTTCTGTGAGAAAATGTTCGGATAGCATTTGCGTGCATAGGCTAACTGCGGTCTTTAACAGCTGCAGCCAGATGTCTTTATACATAGGTCATGATAAATTACCCAGAATGCCACCCCCACTTCCTTCACAAGATTCTGTGAAGCTCATCAGCCTTTCTCAGCGTCCTTTTTTGCAGGGCGGGGGGGGGGGGGGGGTACGAGCGAACAAAACGCCCGCCGACAAAACGCCCGTTTCGTGCTGGGTCTTTGTTTGAGATTTACTTTTTAGTCAGTTGCAGGACTCAAAACAAATACGTTAGGCTGGAATTATAGCCTCTCAAGTCACAATGAACTTAATAATTGATTACCTGTAGACTTCAAATAAAGTTGATTTTTTTTTGTCCACTTGACATTTCCGCCGTCCGGCCGCCATATTTGTCCGTTTCTAGGGATGAACAGCGCATGCGGGTGACGTACTTCCATCAGTGACTCTGCTCACAAGCAGGCGCGGTTCTAGAACCAATATTTTTGGGTGGCTAGCACGGTGGATCCAGAATTTTTTTCAGGGAGGCGTGCTGAAATGTTGACTGGTTATTTTTTTTCAGACACTTAGGCCTCCGAAAATCAACAGGGGGGGGGGGGGGGGGGGGGGGGGGGGCTCATGCCATATTTTCAATGGGGAGCGCCAATAAAATCCTAAAATCATTCACACTATATTAACTAATGCACCCTTGTCACGGCTATTTCTTCTTTAGGGGGAGACCGTTCGCATGTACATCACAATCTTTCTTTTTGCTAATGCAATTTTTTTTATGGAATTTATTTGGGGGGGGGGCTAGACAAAATGTTGGGGGGGGGGGGGGCTACAGCCCCCCCTACCCCCCCCCCCCCCCCCGTAGAACCGCGCCTGCTCACAAGCAGGTTCTCCCTGCATGGCTGACCCAGATGAGCCCCGAAAATGATGTCAGAGCTAATCGAACGTACGACACGGGGCTAACCCGTGGCGACCCGGGTGAGCTAAACGAACGCACCCAATAAAAAAAGACCAGTGTGTTTGCTGCCACCATAGTCTTTAAAATTTCCTATTGGAATTGTGTATTATCCTGTGTGTTCAGTTGTTTTTATACCCTTTAAATCGTCCTCCATTGTAACGGTATTTCCATTACGTTAATAAAATATACGGGAAGACAGCAATGTCATCAAGCGTGTGCATAAGCGTGGGTGTTACATCTTCTTTGAGATCAAACAATTTCGTTTTTAGAGGGAACGTGCTAAGTTAAGTCATTGGGTAATGAGTAATTATATCTTCAGTACATAATCATACTTTCTGCAGAAACTGAAATAGTGAGCGTTTAGGTACCTAATAGTTGTACCGAAAATAGCTGAAATGTATGTCAATTCAGTTCCTCAAACGGCATCCAAGCAAAAGGACACCGGGGATCGGGAAATAGTACGGGATTCGTTTTGTAAATATTGAGATTCCCATTCCGTTGTGCATGCAATCACGGGCAATAATGTGCCAATTATTTTGGGTTTCAGTATGCTATGGTATGGTAATTCTGGGTGCTCATGAATGTAATCTAAGCTATGAATTCACGAGCGGACTGTTTCTATTCTAGAAATTATAGATTAATTCTTTTTGTTCTTTTTACATTGCAAAATATATCATTTGAGTATAAAAATGCAAACAGACAAAATTTACTTCATCTTTATACAATTGCAATAAAATGGCATTACCATCATCAGCACTACATAGGGCAACCAGCCAGGGGGGATGCATTTCTCCTTTTATAAAATGCGCCATTTTGAACTTTTTTTATGTTTTAAGTTTTCTTTTTAATTTGTTTTACGTTCATTGTTGACTAGACCAATCACACTGTTCCAATCAGCCACTGATTTGCTCTGCCCTGTAATGTCATCATTTGATTCGTGCCTTCGAGTCACGTGACTCGGTCTCCAACCACAAGCCATTCCACATCTTATCACATCAGCTCATCTATCGATTCTGAGGCGCATAATTGGCAATTGTTGCTGCTGACGACTTGTTCATCTTCAGCCCACGGAGTTGTGCTTCATGGTTGGAGTCGAAATCTTAACCCTCCTGACTGTATCAATGAAGACCAACTCCTTGTGGTTGTGTCTCGGTGCCCGGATGTACCGTTCCTCTTGCTCCGTGTCCTCGGTTTTGATGTCCTCGGATAACTTCCGGTATTCCAAGGTCATACCCGAAAAGGTCCCGCTCCGTCTTATGTCCGGGGACGCTCGGCACTCCAGGTCCTCGGTTTCTGTTTCGACTACCAAGCAGCTGGTCGAGGTAGTCACCGAGGGAACGGCGTATTCCGGCGCGGGAAAGCTCTCCGGAGCCAGGGGTAGATTCTGCCCGCAACGCTCTAACTTATCGTAACCGTTCCCGCTGACTCGATGAGGAAAAACCTGGTTTGACAAGGCGCAGTAACCAACGGAACTAATAGACGAGGATTCTGGTGAGTGTGACGTCATCCAGGGGTCATCATCACCTTCGCAGCACTCGGTTCCCACGTAAACGCTGTCTGTGGCTGTCTCGGGGTCAAGGGTCACGTAGACTGGTCGCAGCTTCTCTCTGACAGCACTTTTGACGTTGATGTAACGGTGGCTGATGACTGACTCCTGTGTATAGTCCTCGGTTGTAGTTTGGCTGGGACCGACTGCGAAATCGCGCCCAACTGGTGACTGAATGTCGACACGGGGAGAGGGGTTCTTACGGTCTCGCTTGTTCAAGCTAGTGTAGCTGTAAGGGCCGGGTGAGGGCTGACGAGGGATAGGCGAGGAGCGTTTAGTGTGGGGTACGGGAACGGGTAAGGGAGGTGAACGAGGGGTGGTGTCATAAATGGGTTCGGGTCGAATTGGGAGTGGCGGGTAGGGGCGTCGCTTTTTGGCCAGAGGAGTCAAGGGTATGGTAAGCAGAGGCGTGCATTTCTTGGACATCAGTCCGGTGACCTTTGACCTGGATTCCCGCGAGGTCTGTGAGAAGGAAGAGGAGGAGGAGGAGGCGTAGGGGAGGAGGCTGGCGGTGTCCTTCCAGCATCTCTCGTACACCACGTGCTTGACGATCCCGGAGTCCGAGTCGTCACTGATGAAAGTCACCTCGCTGCAGCCGGAACGACCGGATTGATCGGAGCCGGAACGATGTGATAGAGTGGACAGATCGGAGCGAACACTCTCGGTGCTGCAGTCTGGCGAAAAAAAGGAAATCAACAGAGAAAAAAAGATGAAAAACAAATGTCTACATTAACTGAAGTTAAGTTTCATTATTGCCGATTGTAAGACAAGTTAAGTTCCCAATGTAAAAAAAAAAATAGTCTTACAAACTGACTGCAAAAATAGTCAGCTGGGGTGCAAGGTGACCGCTTTCCGAAGCCATACGTGACTCGATTTTTAAGAGTCCATTTTTCATTTCTTTTATTTTATTTTAAAAAAAATGATTTCAAATTCAAAAGTAAAGTTTCTGTCTTTAAAATTTCAAAGTGTGATATATTTGCAAAAACATAAACTAATCGCTGTGTGGAATACAGACTTCGCTAAAAAATGTCAATATTTGCTCTGAAGAAGAACTGTATGTTACTTCATCAAATGAAGAAAGAAAAACCAAAAGCTACTTTTTTATCTTCTTTAATCTTGTGTACTTGTTTTTTTTTCCTGTGATTTTCAAACGTTTACAAAATTAAGGCGATCCCCAAAACATTGGTGCCACACCTTTTTAATTACGCCGACTAATTGAATTAAGAGTCCTGCATAATGAATGACCATGACTCACGACAGCAATCAACCTGCCCGTTTCTAATTGGTATCCTTCACATTTACAAACACCCTTTGGACCCCAATATCGTCCCCATATGGTCCTCTGTATAGACCCTATCTGCACTCAAATTGGCATCTCTCCAACATCCCGTATATATAAGCTTCCCCATTCCGTGCTATATTAAACCATCACTAAGTTTTGATCGATAAGGGAAATTATGACAGGAGGTCAACTTAACGGCTGCAAATACCACTCTATGACATCATGCCTATTTTTAGACGGTGCACTCTTAAAACCAACAGTTAAAATACTGACTGTCCTTTTCTTTATGTGTAAAAATGACCACGCGAACAAATCTTGTAAAGTATAGCTGCGAGATAGCAGCCCAACATATCGTGTCTCTCCGTTAGTTAGGTATTTAGTAAACGTTGACATTGTCTATTGCTCCTATATGTCTTGACCAATTTCAACCAAACTTTGTCAAAGGTATCAGCAGCCCAGCCCCAACATGTCACACGACCAAACTGGGGTCAAAGGTCATCATGGGGTCACTGGGGTCAAAACCTTTTTTTTTTTAACTCAAAACACTACTTCTTCCAGAAATTACATGGCACAATCACGTGACTCATTATTGAACACCCATTTGTTGGCCCGCAGAATCCGATCGAGCTTGCTTTTTTTAAGGTAATAACAAAACATATTTACTGAATATCAAAGTGGACGATATTAAACTGTAAAACAGGTGTAGACAGATTTAGCTGGAAAAACAAGACACGCTTGACTCCTTGCTGTAATGCCATAAAGTGACTTTCGTTAATTTAAATCAGTGGGAACTTTTATTTAAATTTCATCCCTCATTTCCACAAGAAAAACAAAGTTTTCCTCAAGCTTAAAACCTCTTATGGACTTCTGATGCCAACGTATAATACCAAACGTTGTTAAACTTAAAATAGAATGACATAAACGTTTGTGGATAGAGACAAAACAAATCTACCGAACAGTACACATAACACGTTTCCCGTTATTAAAAGTAAAAAGGTTTTTTAATAACCTGTGGATCGTTGAAAGCATTTATATAACCACGCAAATCCATACCCACATACACACCCCGTTAAAAACTAAAACGTTCTTCGATCGACTGACCAGGTAAAAAGGGTGACGTACCCCCTCTATATGCCAGATATAACAGGAAGGATCACAATCGTGCAAGCGAAGCCAGAACAATCTAATTTCCAATTGCCAAGGGACTTTTAGGGATTGTTAACATTTTAATGTAATATAATCACCAAAAAAGGGAAGTCGTCACTTGACTTGGGGCTGTGACTCAACGGTTTGAATCATGTGCACGCTACATTGCAATCCTTCCTTTCAATTGCCTTATAGTCGGATGTTAGCCTCGCTGTTGGCGCCATTTTCTGGAAGTCTTGGTTTTTTGTTACCTTTAGTCATGTTTCCTATTATTTGCACATTTTACATATTACCTTAAAGGTGTGTAAACGGTACTGTTTGTCTCATTGTCTCGAGTCATGAGTTTGTTTAACTTCCCTCTTCACTTTTTTTTATGGTGTCACCTTAAGAGGCCTTTGGCCTCAAAATGAATGTTTTCATTCCAACAATTTAGAGCAACATTAGAAGTTAAGACCCGAGTCATTGATCACAATGTAGAACTTTTAAAAAGACATGATAGACCTCAGGGGATCCCCATGAGCCTCAAGAGATCCCAACTTTTAAGAATGCCACAATTACAAAAACTTCTGATCAGTCACGTTGATCGATCATCGATTATCGATCTTTACGACAACTTATGAGCAGTCACAGTGATCGATTAATTGATTATCGATTATCGACCATTACGACACCTTCTGATTATTCATGATGATCAATTAATCTGTTATCTATTATCGATCATTACGACAACCTCTGATCATTCATGATGATCAATTAATTTATTATCGATCATCGATCGTGACGGCTAATTGTAATAACTTTTCGCTGATTGATTAATCGATTATCGATTGCCAATATATACTCACCAGAGCTAATTGTACTGAGGATGCAATTGATCTTCTGAGAGTCTTCGGGGACATCTCTCCCATTACGTATCCTTGATTGATTAACAAATCACAAAATCACCAATAAGTCAATACACCACGAGTCGTCAAATCGATATTAACATGCACAATTCGTTTTCTAAATTTCATTTTAGAATTGACTCTCCTCTTATTTGGACTAGTAAACCAAATCCAAATATTGTTGGTTGAATATAACTGAATGGTTATGGTCTATGGGAATGATACTGCATGTATCTTAAAGGTAGAGTGCAGTTTGTGAATTGTTTTCTTTGTTTGAACAAACAAAAGTGCTCAAATCTAAAGACAGATGCTTACTAACTAACCCGATAAAGTTTTAGCTCCGTTATGCTGTACATTTCGAGAAAGCAGAACAAACATAAACACTATATTCTGGATCTCGATTTCAGATCCAAAGTTGCCGAGTCATATTTTGAATTGTACCCTCTCGTGACTCAATCCCGAAATCAGCATTCGGGACACGATTCTCATTCAGACATTCACGGATTCGCCCAATTGCAAACCAACCACAAATTAGAACACATGGGGGCGGACTCATGGAATTTCCAACAAATGTGTCACTTGAAACATCTTTGAAAAAGATCTTCTCACGTCGTTTTCTTCAAAATGACAGTATGCCAGAATGAATAATTTCACAGGGAGTTTAGTGTCATTACTATCTTTAAGCCAAGCAAGCTTTTGCACAGTAATTTGGTCGGTTACGTTTTTTGAATAGTTGCAAATAGTCTACTCTACCTTTAATAAGGAGGGGAAAAAGTAGGTTGTTGAACGTGACCTTTTGATTTATCGTCACAACTTAGAAGGTCATGCAATAATGTCATTAGAAGTCTCCGACTATGTAGTTTTTTAGAGTGATGTTCAATTTTTATAAATTTAGAAAATTCTCCGCCCCCAGAGAAAGCAAGCCACAAAGCCCTTCAAACTAGCCAAATCAATAACAATCAAAACGAAGCCTCAAACGTCGATCATAATGTGCCAACTTAAGCTCTTTTCTTTTTCAAAACTCGAGAAAGGAAAGTTCAGACCCAGTTAAAACAAATTTGGTAACTTTCCATAACTTGGTATATTTAGAGCATGACGTCTACGTGACTTAGCTGCGAGCTATACTCAAGAAATCAAGAGGAAGTCGAGAAACCAGACTAAAATCTCCAGACCTAAAAACGCCCATTCAAATTAATGTCAAATGTGAAGGGAAGAACTAAACTGAAGACATCCTTTATTCCTGCTACACTATACTCAGGGAAATAAAGCAACTAATCCTCAATGAATTGGCGATGATCCCTTATTGCAAAAAAAAAAAAAATAACTGGGACTAGCGCCCAGAGATTTATGTATTAAATCCAAAGGGGCTGATGGAACTCAATTTGGAAAAGAAGCTAATATTTTAAGATTCAACAGCATGGGTTGTTTTGCATTTAGATTCTATTTAAAAAAAAAAACCCGGCCTTCGCTTATATATAGTAATTGGTTGCCGAATTTAAAGGGAAAATGTCATTACTTTAATTAATGTCGCACCACGTAGGGTCTATTTAAGCCTGGCAAAATATTACATGTGGATCACCATTATGCCGCAGTAGTAAACTAATAATTGAAATCTGTTTTTCCTCGAGCCAGCAAGTCCCCCATTTCGGAAATAGTGTACTCATACCAAACCCTAAATTAATATCCAGAAGATCATACGAGCAAATTTGTGTTAGTTTGCTCAATAACAGGTGACGTGCGAGACTTCAACCCAGTGCCATTTGAAAACACGGCATACAGAAGCCTTACATTTTAGATCCCTTCCCGCCTCAGTTGGATAAAAAGGAATTCTGTCAAAGCTGTCTACATAAGGCAAAAAAAAAAAAAAAAATTCTGCTCCCGGTTACCCCAGCTACCCTAGTTTGATAGCCCCTACCCTAATATTTGTTGAAAAAAACGAGGAAAAAGTCCCGACAATCATCAATTACTTCATTTTACTCCTGACTACACGCAGAAACCCTCATGTGATCGTACACAAAAAAGTGCCCCCCAAAAATATAATTTCCCTACCTACCTACCCTATTTTCAAATGCCTAATCGGAAGCAGAACTATTTATTTTTGGCCCAAGTGTAAGACGATACGTATTACGATTCATGATTTGATCTGAATTCTATTACATTTGGAGTAGATGGTTGAATTAGGTTGGTTTAGGATCTATCGCTTACTCGAAAAATGTTTTGGTGCGAGGGGGATTTGGTCGTACGCACCAGACCCACTCTTGAAGGTAGTTGACTCTGTGCCAACCTGCTAGTTTCAATTCCTGTTCTGGCCTGTTCCTCTTCGCGACTTCAACCCCCCTCCCCCTCCCCTATACTTCAGGATGTCTGACTAACCTCCTGTCGGCATACACACAGCTAGCCTACTTCATGCCACACATTTTAAAGGGTCCATGAAAATGATTGTTTTTCCAAGGAACATGTTTTGTACAACTTTCGACTACTCTTGAATGTATGAAAACTATTTGACATCCCCTTTTGGTTAATTGTATTGAAAAGTGTACTCTTTTATCCATCTAAAATTGTCCATGCTTTTCCCGACAACCGAGGGCGTTGTTGTTGTGATGTCATTTCAGGAAAGACACTGTTCAATTGAGGGGTTTTCTGTTCAAATTGTGAACCCCCAAATTTGCTCATTGAAAACATTGGTAAGAAAGTTTGCTCACTGGGTTACTGCCATGTACTGACACAACAACGAATCACCAAACAACAACCAATTTACGACGGCAAAATATCCAAAATGTTGACAAATTTTGGTGCTGAAATAACTGTAACATTGAGGTTTAGGCATGAAATGACATCACACTTTCGCTCATGAATATGTAAAATAAAATTAACATCAAAACAAAAAAAGGCACAAAAAACCTTGAAAATGGCAAAATAAAAGTTGAAAATAAAGTTAAATGCAAAGTTAAACACAAAGGTGCATTTTCATGAACCTTTAAGAGCATTTCACAAACAATTACATTGCATTTTTTTAGCCTCACTTAATAACTGTTTTCAACAAAAGAAATTTTAAGTAAAATGCTCAGTAATGCAGCAGCTGCTTTCAAGTACGTTCTCTTCTCTTATTCCTTTCCATAACAATTGAAGTAAAGCACAAAATATCCACGACTTTTTCCCACGTTAAGAGGTGTCCTATATAGTTGTTGCCACTTGAGCATCGATAAAGTTTGAAGTTATTTAAAAGTTGATAATGCCCAGAGAAATATTGGCCTGTGTCCGCAACGTTTCGCATTGATTTATTGCACTTGAAGAAGTTTTCATGAACACTCGACTTATCCTCTATTAAAACATCATACGCTGATGTCTGTCTATGTGATGTCTGTCAGTCTGTTTGTCTGATGTCTGAATGTCGCTTTTTTTTGTAAAAGGCCCCAAAAAATCTGATTTTGCGGTCATCCAGTCTGTGGAGGTCCTTAACTGGTATGCACCGATTTCATTGTCCTCTGAAGTCACGGTTGGCACAGGACAAATGATTGATATGTTTTGTTTTGCTTTATTTGGAATTTTCGGGGTTTTTTTGAGACTTTGAATAGTGGAAACACTCACAATTATCGCTATTACGCAAAACATAACGTTCATGATGTAAATCTGGTAAATTGCTGAATTCGTACGATATGAATGTGCATTTCGAAACCTGACCGAATGTAATGAACACCTTCGCAAAAATAAGTCAATTGAGGGCGCACTGACCAGCTAGCGGGTGCCGCGCAAAGCGCGGCATCCCGCAAGAACTTTAAAGTCTTGTTCGTTAAAAAGGGCAAGCCGAGTCTGTTTTTTAATGCATTACAGTGAATTACGGAGGGGAAAAAAGGAAATTGCCATGACGTTATTGCATACCAATTATAACTTAGACGACAGGACTTTTATTTTGTTGTTGAAGGGCGTCCACTTTTAGGACTCTGTTTTGGAGTCTTAGTGATTGTGTTGCAACTACAAGCTGATTGTCATTCAAAGCAGATGTTAAGATCAAAGGTCATGTTATGACAGTATGTATTGGAAGTCTTAAGTTGCAATATGTATGTATACTAAAATAGAAATCAAGCATTGTCTCAAACTGATAAATACCAAGACATCATAACAGAAAATTAAAACCCTTTAAATTACTATACTTAACAAAATTTCAATGTGGTCTTTTGAAAAGAAGGATTGCAATGGTGCCAGTGTGCAAATAAACTTTGCATAAACTACGTCAGGCTAAATAAATACCATTAAAACAAAAGCAAAGCAAGCGGAAGATTGACTCTTATAGGCTCCATGTACAAGTACCCCTTCAACGGCCAGAAAAGGAGAGTTGGGGGAGACCTAGAATGGTTCCCGGTCCATCCACTGCGTATTTCGAATGATCCAAAGTTAAAGGAATAAAATGGTTTTATTTCCAATGTATTCCCATGCGTTTAGAACACCGTCTTAGCAATTTGAAATGAAACAAAAGAGGACAATTATTTGCAAATTTCTCATCCATGGAAGTTTTTGGTTGGATACGTTTTGCGCTGAATGAACAAACAGGAAAACAAATATAGCACAGTAGTGTTCAAAACAAAACTAATGCAATTATGAAATGTCAGCCTACCTTGGTAAGGATAAAATGCCGAAGCAACAAGCCAGTCTGCCGCGATGCCACAGCTTGGCTAAGTGAAAAGCAAAACTGGCGATAGCAAACAAGGCCACCAAGATGACAAGAACAAGGAGGATGATGAGCAGCCGGTCCCTGGGTCCAGGGGGGTCCACTTCGGCCCCTGGGGTGCGCTCAGGTTTGGGTAGGCCCGCATCAGTAGCGGGGATCTTGGTGGAGGGGCCCGGGGGAGGCGTGACCGGGCGAGCGGTCATGAAGAGCCCCGTGAATCCAGGCACCGTGGACCCATCCTGATCGTTATCCGACCCGGGCGAGGGACCCGTCACAGGGTGCGTGCTGCCCGGTGGTCTGCTGGGAGTTGGCATTGGCGGAACCGCTTCATTTACGACCGGGGCAAAAGGGGAAGTGAGAACTAATTTAGAAATCAGTGAAGATGACTTTGAAGGGACAATACACGCCTACTACTGATAGTTTGCGACGTTGAACCGGCATAACGCTTCAGTTTAAGGCTTCTTGCACGCATCAAAATCCATCATGATTTCTTGGCCCAAATTAAGAGCTTTGATAAACGTGAATCGCCATCCCTTAGTATAATGACACGTTTAATAGCCTAAGTGCTAACGGTGAGCGTATTTCACAGGGGTTAGCAAGGAATTATATAGCAATCAAATTTAGCGTAAACTAAGGATCATGTGCTTTAGGATTTGCGCTTTATAGTTCCTTTGCTATAACAGAAGGCACACCATAGACATCAAAAGGTTTCGTAATATCTGCCAATAAATGCTTAAATTTAGCACAGGGCAATTACAATTACTTTTTCCTATAATTTTGTTCTAAATAGATTATTTTATTAATTTTTTTTCACAAGATTTATAAAATGTGGATACATTTTGGGGGCCCAACGAAAGCATTATTATACATTGGTACATTAGGCGAAACAAAAACCACACATCCATTTATACAGCCGTAGATAGTGGTTACCTAACGTCTTTGTACATTTGTTATACGTGTGTTATACACCTCTCTGCGGTTTGATACATTTCGCATTCATAAAAACGACTACACTTCTATAAGTTGCTCTTGTTACTCATTTCCGGACCATTGACAACTGGCACGCGCGAGCGTACATAGTCTTAAGATTTCATTTTGACTGCCCCCCCTCAAAAAAAACAAATCTTTCCTTGCCTCCAATTTCCCCCAACGCCATTTTAGAGTCTGGCGCCACCACTCTCTCTAACTAGCACAATACCTGTTGTGGGTTGATTCGGCACACATGAATTGCCAACTCGAGTGTATCCTGAGCAGCATACGAAGCCACTGACATAGACTGTGCGAAAAGCTACCTTGTAAACAGGAGTAAACACAACCCTGGAAAAATAAAAAGGTAATTTGGAACTGTTAAAGGACTCATGACATGAATTTTACTTTGGAAGACGTCTTGTACAACTTTCTACTCCTCTTAATTGTATGAAAACAACTTGACATCCATGTTTTGTTAATCTTATTGAAAAGTGCACTTCTTTAAACATTCAAAATTGTCCATGCTTCTCCGGACAAATGAGGGCACTTGTTGCTGTTATGTCATTTCAGGTAAAAAAAAAAGGCAATATTCAGTTCAGGGGTTTTCTATTCAATTTGTGAACCCAAACTTTGCTCATTAAAAAACTGTGCTCGTTGGCCTATACTGTCATGTACTGAAACAACAACGAATCACTAAGAAAAGAACATTTACGACTCACAGCATAATATCCAAAATTCTGGCAAATAGTTGTGCTGAAATAAATAGCTGTAACCTTCAGTTTTCTGGCTGGAAATGACATCACACTTTTGCTCATGAATATGCAAATTGGCATTAGCATAGAAACAAGAAAGTCGCCAAAATGCCGTTAAAAAAGCAAAATGAAAACTGAAAATAAGGTTAAATGGGATACAAAGGTGCAATCTCAAGAACTGCATTAAAAAATACACTACATGGGCGCTTTAAATATATTACTCTATAGTTTTAACATACACAATGTTTGACTTCAATATACACGATTTTACATCAAGTACTTGTAATTAAAAGGCATATGGGATCATTTGCATTTGTTCCAAAGTAATTAACCTACCGAATTATTATCAATATAAATACTTGGATTAAAGATCGTACTGATACTAAACACCCTGTATAAATTATTCCGTCTGGCTTGCTGTCATTTCGAAGAAATCAAGAAATGTAGGTGATTTCAAGCGATCAGTCAGTTGACTGCTTTGTAAAAAACAAAGAGTTCGGTTGATGAAATCGTGTTTCGGATTTTGAGTGGTGTTAGTGTTGGAAACGAACAAAATGCATGAAATGATCCTATGTGCCTTTAAGAGGCTGCAATTAACCCCGTAATTTTCGCATATATCGTCAAATTTAAAACAAAAAGTGTGTCCACTGACCTATTTTGTTCAATCCATCAATACCATTTAAGGAGGAAGAATTTCACTGAGTATTTGGAACCATTTCTTTTTTTCACTTTTGAGCCATATTGTTCTGGTTAAATCGGGTTTGTTTTCTGGCAAGCGGCCAATGTCCCTTCGTGCCTTAAAAATACACTCCTTAAACCATAAACCCATGTTTTAGTTACATCAGCTACTCAACATTTTTCGTTTTAATTGTGTGTCAATGTTGTGAATGTCACTTTGTAACCAGGTCCATTTTCCTTGAATCAACACAATCAAAGTCTTTATACAAAAAAAACACCTCTTGCCACTACTTCCTCGGCATGTTTACATTAACATGAAGAATGGTCAAAAGAAAAGCTACATCCTTAAAATCAAGCTACATCCCAAAGAAATATTGATGCCGTGAAACATAGACTGCAGACCGGTGGTTGATGTTTGGGTAAACTGGTCTGAAATAGCTTGCCCTAATCCCTTGTTCCGCAGTCCGGAATGCTGCCCCGTGCTATATTTTGATTCCACCTTGCATAACACCGGTGCCCCGCACTACCTGTGATACCTGAATATTGGTAACAGCTCGGATACATTTTTTTTCAACAGAACAGCCTAGATCCAACTTTAAACCAGACCAGGATCGGAAGACGTTTAAATGATTTGGCAGGGAATCGTCTGCCAAGTCTGCCGCGTAAATCCTGGCATTTCCAGGGCTGCAACCGCTGCACCTTAGCCCGTCAACGCGCGGCAGGTGTTTTCTCTTTGACACGGTGCAGACTCGCCGGCGTCTCCCCAGCCGCGGAGCGTGTTACCCATCAACTTCGGACGCGTCTGAACTTTACAGAATGAAAAAGTCATCTTCGCCTATCTGTCAATTATCGCCAAGTTTGTTGCGATGATAGGAGGGTATATAACTATTATGCGCCCTTTGGCAATCGACTGAAGTGATTAGTTTCCGAATCAGTTTCAACATAAGGAAATGTGCTGTCATTCATGACAGTATAGCCGTGTCCGATTTACTTGGCTGCGGCTTGATACACTTATATTTTAGTCCCTGTTGTTCTCATTCAAGTCGATCCTTTGCTTCGTGAATGACTGTTGCATGGTAATTGGTGAGTTTAATCTCAACTGGGTTCGGAAAATGGGGGAAAGGACCAAAGGCCGTTTTTCACGGTCTCCGCCATTTTCCGACCGCTGGAAAAAAAGTTGTTCCCCCAGCTCTATATATGTCAAATTCCCGATGAGCGTTGGAGCTGGGGCAACCTCGGGTTAGCGATAGACATGTTTATACCCTTCTTTTTGTCCAACACATCTCATTAAGACTAATGAAATTATTGCCACAGATTTTAAAAGTGGTGGTTAGGTAAACAGTTTGTTTGGTTTTACATCGCATCAAATCGTTAAAAAGTTTCAAAAGATTCATCATACGAATCAGAAAAATTCAGTTATGATCCTACTTGTATTGTTGACATCCGTTGAGTTCTAGCCATGTGCAAATGCCTCCCTTTACTCCCACCAGGGAACTCTGCAGGTTAGACTCGGTGTATGACTGCACCTTGCTGCAAATTATAAAAAAAAAGGAAAATTTCTTAACAGATATCAAAGTTCATCAAGAAATATCATGCAGAGTGGTCAGTCACAAGTCACCAAAAGTCAATTCACATGCAGTGCGCCACCAAGATTTGCCATGGAGAGTCAATTTTTCCCAATGCATTGTGGGAGACGGCCGACAAATTAGCAGCGCGGGCTATTTCAAATTGTTAGTTTGTCCGGTCAGTAGATTCGTAAGCGTATGATTCGAGTATCTGTTTGCCCTTTTCTAAGGTGGCAGAACGCTATGCCCCAATCCTTCACAAATTAGCTCAAGTTATCTACTGGTCGACCGTTAACTCATGAAAAACGGACTTTCCGTGGCAAACTCTTGGTGGCGCACACAAGTCAGGTCATAAGAAACAAGAAATAAACAATGACAAAGGAATGCCTTTGTCACAGTTCATTTCAGTAGAGCCTGAGAGTTCACCCTGGTGGTGCGCTTCCGGAACCCTTGAATAGGAAAATTAACATGCAAAAATTCTAAAATTTGCAATTATTTTAGGTAGTTACATTGATTCTTCAGGAAATCACGCTCTAAAAGGGCCTATGTAAATTTGTTACTATAGCATCTCAATTCATGGAAATATCGTGCCAAAAATTGACCTCTCACTTCCGATAAAAAATAAAACGCATGTGGACTAGTGGAACTCGGTGTATTCGTACAAAGATGACAATTTATGAAACAATTTTGTGGTGGTCACTGGGTGAAAACTGAAAGTTAAATAGGAGACTAAGATTTCTTTTAGGATATTCACCTTTTTCTTCTTTTTTTTTAAAAATAAACTTGAAGGACTCATAAGCAATCACACAAAATTTAATCTAAAGTGACCGCTGATATTCAAGCCAGCCCGACGAAATCTAGAACCCATGGGCTGAAAGTAGGTAAATCTTCATGTCGCTATACATTTTCGTTCTCACGCAAGTACGGGATGTGAAAACAAACGTGATCGAACAAGGAGACGTAGGAACGAAAATGCCGGATGTGAAAGGTAAAATTTTACCCGTTTTTTTTAGCTCGCCGCGTGACCTTTTACTTTCAGGCTCTAGAGCTTGTGACGTGACTAGGGACTGGATGACTTGTGATTGACTTGTGATAATTTGTCGTGACTCGTGACTGACTCGATTACAACTCTGAGAAGAATTACCGAAAATACGAACAAGAATTGCCACTAGACAGAACGAGGAATACAGGCAACATGCATATAGGTCATACAATTGCGACAAGTATACAATCCGTAATATGATCGGCCTTTGTTCAAGTCGTAAAAACAAAAACAGATATTGCCATACATCGTATCGAAGAGCCGTCCGAAATCTTGATCATTTCCTAAAAATCACAGTCCTCTATCGCACAAGCGTAACATGTTGTCAAATGATACAAAAACCCCACGGTTTTATTACCGACACTGTTGGTCTTTGTCTCTTTGATTTAAATGCTAAGATCACATTTATATTCCCTCTTTCTCTTCTGCCGGTTGTAAAATCCAGATTTGTACGGCTGTTATACAACAATAACCATCACAACCAAAGCAGCCTGATGTTACAAAGCAAAGATGCCATAACTGCAACACGGAATATGTTAAAACCTTGCGACTTGAAATCGCAACAACAGCAACTGAAGAAGTCAACGATCACAAGAAGGCCAACATGATAGTCAATTACAACACACATGGCTTTGTTTATAAGGCATTTTTATGTACTTTAAATTTTTTATTTGAATTGGCCAGATTGTCTGCGTTGGGTGGATATATGATCCGCAAAGCTCTAGCAATCTCACCACTCATCCCACTTAAACCTGGCAACTTCCCCTCAACCTGGCTCCCATTACGACCCGTCTCATTTGATAATCGTGTCAACACTCAAGAGAGTCCAAGATACATGTGGGCACCTAATCAAGCTCTACAAACCACACGTTTCCTCGCCTTTACTTTCAATTAACCAAAACGACCTGACATACTGACGCGCTTCGTCTTGAGCGTCAAACTATAAGACAGCTTTCCTGGAGACCTGTACTAGCATTTCTGTACGGATACACTCTCTTTACCGTACACATGCACTTTATTTTGCCAAACCTTGCAACCAAACTGAAGCATGGTTCGCCTAAAGTGCTTCGACATCGGATAAGCAATTAAGCCCGCGCCCGTATGCCGTTGGGAGTTGCACCCTTGGGGAACTGACTTAATGGTCAGCGGAAAGGCTTTAATTCCATTCTATTAGGCGGTGCTATCACCCGTTAAGTGACATTTGAGGGAGTGACCGTTCTCAGCACAAACCCCATACCCATACCATAGACCTTCTTCACGAGGAAGCCTTTTTTGATCGTGTTCCCTGAATGTATTGTATAAATTGTAAACTGTTGAATGGGATGGTGCCAGACTATTTACGCGTCCTTAAGCTTCACTTTCAATTTTTTTGTTAAATAAGGGAATAAATGCGCGCTTGGCCGGTTTTAAAAAACTATGTTTAAAACAGGATGGAGTCTGGATGCTGATTATTGACTCGAGCCTTTTCGGTCCAACGGACAAAACAAGTTACAAATTATAAATTCCAACGATTTTGTTTCACATTATTTTACTTTATGTTTTTCGAAACACTCCTGTAGCTATGCTATGGTATGGTCCTCTCGCGAGTTGTCGTAAACAAATCCTTATATGGAGATTGGCGCGCGCCGCGCGCACTGCGTACTGTGGCGCAGAACGCAGCTGTGAAGGTGTAGTGTTTATTTAGGACTATGAAATACTGACTCACTGATAGTATTGCGTGAGGAATATGATCGTTCAACCAATATAACTGCACTGGCACCGGATTACATAGGTGTCCAAGTTTCATGTGACACTGGAAAGACCAGCCAGTCGGTCTTTATCAACCGTTTAAACCGGCCACATGACGGGCTCTCGACCAATAGGAATGGGTGAAAAATAGCTTAAAACAATGGGGTCATGTTTAATCACAAATTATATATTATCCATCAGAGCAGCGGCTGGTGTAAATTTTTCATTAACTTTATATCATTTCGTTCATTTCTATTGGCTAGTTCCACAAATGAAGATTTTACCTCGGTTTCCATTTAATATTGCCGACTCGTGAAAAAAAAGCCTATCATCTTCTCCCCCCCCCAAAAAAAAAAAATCAGGTAAATCTTAGCAAAACAATTGAAAAAATGTCACCCGTATTGAACAGGGCCCACCTATTGTGCCTTCCATATCCAATAAAGGCTCATTTAAGTGCTGCAAATAGTTTTGCTCCACCGAAGTTTTATTAAGGGTGTGTGTTGTGAAACATCCCTTTTGCCACGTCTATGGTAGGCATATGTGCCTCGTGCGTAGTTCTACAAAACATCGACCTTCGCTCCTAATACCAAAGGCGAAAATAGCCAGTACCTCTAATACCAATGATGAAGGTCAAGGACAGTATTCTCAAGAATAACCTTACGGCGGCCTTTAAGGCGCCAAACTTAAGCAGGGTATACAAGCGCCATTTGACGGCGAAGAGATTGCAGGTACGTGCTACTCAACAACAGAAGTAACCGCCTTGATAGGAGATTCCAAAGGGTCACCTTAGTTAAGAATGCTCCAGATTTAGACGGTCGTTGATAGACAATAAGCTCAAGTTTATGAGCAGTGATCCAGTCAGCCAAAGTCCGGATGCTCAGGTGGAGGGAGATGCTACGTCCCTGTAATCCCCAAATGATTGTCTCAGAAACCAGGCTGATAATGGCCGCACGGCCTTGAACTGTCCGAATTCCTCAAAAGCCGTTGCTGTATTGCCGGCACTGCGCTAGGGTTATCAGCGTCTGCAGAATGAGGTTAGTTTCCTTCCACAACAACCACGATAAGCAGCCAACACCCTGGGGAAGAGGACGTGCTGAATGGGCGGTGCCCGTGAATTTTGACCTTGATGTGTCCACACTCGTTCCGAGAGGTACTCACCTAGCGAATATAGTGATCCGTCAACTTGAACGGACATTCGTTGGTGTGTAGGCACAACCAGGTCTATATAATACCCAAATGGGAATCACTGAAAAGTAACACTAATGTCTATGTTTCGAGGAGATTCGTCCTGTAGTTATACTTGGTTTTAATGTACATTAAAAAAAATGTTATACGTGTATACAAGCAGTGATCCTGTTGTTCATTACCGTGTTCATGGACTATAGGCATATTCATCTGTATACTGTCCGTACTCGACATTCAATTCGATTTTTTTTCTCCAAACGCTTTTAAGATTGTATGATATATTAACGAACCCCCACTCTTAGGCCAAAAAAAAAAATAAGTCGGTCTCTGGTCAGCGCGCGCGTCGATTTTAATCATGCGCGTCGATCTTTCCCCCCCCCCCCCAAATGTTCCGCGGTAGCTTCAACAGCGCCCTCTATTTCCGCACCTCCTCAATATTTTTTACCAAAGAGCACCAACGAATGGGAAATTGCACCAAGGCATATGATCGAAAGCACTAAGGCAAATTATGGAGGACACCAACGTACATGAGGACACCAAAAAAGCAAAATAGTACCCACCTTGTCTGTACAATCCAAGCTTGAAGAAAAAAAAAAAAAAAAAAAAAAAAGCCGCGTGGCCGCGTCAATTCCGGAACTTTGGTCTGACCAGAGACCGAATATTTTTTTGGGGGGCCTTAATGTTCCTATTTGGGCCCTTTGCAACCCTCTAAAAAAAATTACAAGTTTGGGTTGCTTTTGCGCACAAACAGATCCATCCTGCGAGTAGACTGCTCCCAGTGGCCACATGTAGGTCGGGAACCAACCTACCCTCCGTTGCCTGAACTTCAGTATCGAGCCGCAAATAGTTAGACATGTGTAAAGTAATTATTCCACGATTATGAACGTTGGAAGATTTTACGATCAATGTCTCATTCTTTTGTATGCTGGGAAATTAAGAGATCAAAAACAAAATCTCGAAAATAGCAAGGAGAGAGTGTCTATAAATCACAGGCCCTGATATCGAAAAAA